ACCAGAGCTCTTTTTCACATGACTAGAAAACAGACAACTAGAATGTAATGCAAGTCAAACTTCTGGATGTAGAACTGTGTTATCTTCCCCAGTTCCCAAAGAATAATGGAGATAAGTTTCATCCCAACATGAGGAAGAACTTCCTTACATTAAAGATGGCAGAGCACTGGCACAAACTCCCTAGTGTGGACTCTTCCTCTCTGGAGACATTCAAAACCCACCCGGATGTGTTTCTGTGTCATCTGCTCTAGGCAGGGGGTGTTGGACAAGGTGATCTCCAGAGGTCCCTTCCAACCCTAACTATTCTGTGATTCTAGGAACCACCAGTTAGAACACCAGTTTTCTTTCTAACTGTGCATTGGGTTGTGAACATTTCTTGGTACTTCATGCTAAATTTATGGGGTGTGAAAAAGACTCCACTAACATCCTAAAAATCGAGGTCATCGAGAGCAGGTCAAGCCTCTGCCACTACTGATTCTGGCAACATTTCATGACTTCTGATGTTGGCCTGAAACCTGTCCATGCAGGCTGCATGGACAAAAGCATATGAAAATTCTTTCAGCTTATACAAAATCCTGAAACTTTAATTACTATTGTTTCATGCACCTGAAATTTTCAGCCAAGGCAATAACTAGTATTCCAAACATCAAATAAACCTTTTTATGGTCCTAAACTGTTTATAACCCACTTTCAAACTCAATTATTTTCCAACTATCAAGTATCAATATTTATGGATTAAAACATTAGCTTGATTGATTACATAAGGTGCATTTCTTTAATTCATAGAACTGTTAGGGTTGGAAGGGAGCTCCGGAGATGATCTAGTCCAAGCAACCTGCCCAGGCAGGGTCACCTAGAGCAGGACACACTGGGTATGGACGTGACAACTTTAACAGTGTAAAGCTCATCCTTCCACAGCCACTTTTACTGTATGCAGACACTGTCTCGATTTGGGCAAATTGCTTTTTAGCATCCTCGGTGTTCAAGCACAGCCCCTTTGCAAACACGGAGACATCTCCCCCGCCAGAGCCTCCTCTCCGCGAGTTCGTGGTGTCCAGAGCACCGACTTGGTGCCTGCTCTTCCCTGAGCGCCGTGACTCTCTTCGCCCCGCCTCAGGGGCCGCCGCTCCGCCCGGCCCGGCTCCCCGGACGCACCTGCTCCAGGGTGAGCCGCAGGAATTCCTCCGAGAGCAGCTCCGGATGCAGCAACAGCAGCTCCGACTCCGAACGCCCAGATCCGCACTCCTCCTCGCCACCGCCGCCGCCCGCCCGGGCTCTTCCCTGCGCCGCCATCTTCTTCCCCCGGCGGCCCCTTCCCGGACTCCCACAATCCCGCGCGCGGAGGGAAACGCGTCTCCAGAGCAGCCGCGCGCCGCGGTGGCGTCACGGCTGGAGCGGGGCTGGAACGGGGCCGAGCGAGGGTGCGCCTTGCTGGGGAGGCGTCGCTCCGCGGGGCAGCCGGGTCAGGGCAAGCACACAGAATCCCACAGAAGCACAGAATATCCTGAGCTGGAAGGGGCCCACAAGGATCAGCGAAGTGCAGCTCCTGGCCCTACACAGGACAGCCCCAATTATTACACCCCATGTCTTAGAGTGTTTTCCAAATTCTTGAACTCTGTCAGGCTTGGTGCTGTGACCACTTCCCTGGGGAGACTGTTCAGTGCCTGACCCCCCTTTGGTGAGGAACCTTTTTCTAATATCCAACTTAAACCTCCCCTGATACGGCTTCAAGCCATTCCCTTGGGTCCTGTCACTGGTCACCAGAGAAGGGATCAGTGCCTGCCCCTCATGAGGAACCTGTAGAACCATTATAAGGTCTTTTCTCAGTCTCCTTTCTCCAGGCTGAACACACCAAGTGTCCTCAGCCACTCCTCACAGGGCTTCCTCTCAAGGCCCTTCACCCTCGTGGCCCTACTTTGGCTACTTTCCAATAGCTTTATATCTTTTTTATACTGTGGCAGTTTTGGGTGCCACAGTATAAAAAAGATATAAAGCTATTGGAAAGTATCCAAAGTATTCAGCACTGAAGGTGAGGCTGCCCCAGCTCAGAGCAGAGCGGGACAATCCCCTCCCTTGCCCAGCTGGCCATGCTTTCCCTGATGCCCCCCAGGACAGGGTTGGCTCTCCTGGCTCCCAGGGCACTGCTGGCTCAGGTTCAACTTGCCACTGACCCCTGGGTCCCTTTCCATGGCACTGCTCTCCAGCCTCTCGTTCCCCAGTCTCTCCATACATCCAGGGTTCTCCCATCCCAGGTGCAGAATCCAGCACTCGCCCTTGTTAAACATCATTCAGCTGCTGATTGCACAGCTCTAATTTTTCTGGGTTTCTCTGCAAGGCCTCTCTGCCCTTGAGAGAGTTAGTTGTTGCTGATAAGGTGAGGTCACCCCCCAGCTGATAGCATGGAACCGGGAGAACATCTGTTTTATTGTCATTCTGTCACATATGAACGCTTTGTGCTGCTGCATGCTGAAACTTTGCTGTGGAGTTAAACCCGATCTCCGTCCTGCCCATAGCTGTGACACCCGCTGGTTAACGCTGCTTGATAGGCAACAACAAAACTTGCTTTGAAATTCCGAAGTACAATAGCTGCCTGCCCATTGGAGTCTGTCACCCGCTTAGATGTTTAAAAGCAGAATAGAGAATTACAAATGGTTACATGTGTAAATAACCATGTAGTTTTTACAATATAAAATTACAAGGTAATTTGAAATACTTGACGGCTTTTACAGAATTGCAAGGCACAGGCAACAATGTAACACAATAAAAGTACATCCACGTGGAAGGCGTTGAAGATACTATGACTATGTATGTCACTTCAGAGCCTACGTATATGCAGCACTTCAAAAGGCATAAATACAAATTTTATATTTAAAAATCATTTCAGTGTACAAGTAGTAACATTATATCATGTGGCTTCCTCAACAGTGTCTTCTGGCAGTATATACAATTTGTTCCCTTGTGCTTTTTCTCTTCAGGGAAGCAGCATCCAAAGGGAAGCACGGGCTGGGTGCCAGGGCTGCCCAAAGCCCAACTTTATAGTTCTGTGCCCAGCAGGCACACAGCTATTCTATTTTCATTTTCTCACTCATTTCTCTCTTCAGCCAATTATGTCACAAGATCAACTGAACTCAAGTAATCTTGTAAACAAATATAGCTTTTAGGATGAATGTTCAGCCTGGATTTGGTGCTTATTTCAACGAGTGAAATTACTTTCTTTTAAACTACATGGATCATCTCCCTCTTCCTAAAGTACCTTGTAAGTTCTGCCTCACAGAAACATATCCTTGCTAACTGAATTAGTTGTGCTGATCAAGATTTTTACCCTGTGATTTTCTTATGTTACTATTTACTTTGTACGCATTTGTACCCAAAATTAGTTCCTCTTTGATTAACCAAAGCATGTCCTCTCACAATAAAGTTCTGAAAGAGATGAAATGCAAACAGTCTGATAAAAATATAATGCTTCTTTTCCAATTGCTGTAAAAATAATAGAATTTTAATAAGCTATATTGTTCTCATAGACTTGTTGAGTGATCCTATTGCATTTCATAGTAGAGTTAGTTTTTGTATGTTTTTGTTAATGCAATAGTGCAATTTGACATAAATTATACCAGGTACCATTTTCTATTATTTTTCTTTTTAAGATTTTACAATTAGAAAAAAAAATGCTTTACATCTGTTCTGATCCTTGCTCTTTACTTTGCTCATTAGGTGAATGTGTTGTCCCAAAATCGCTTCTTTCACTCAGTGAGCAAGAGGCCAATCCACACAGAGAATTGAGATATTTGAATTGTGCAGAAAGATGTGCTTGGCAACAAATCCACAAAGCCAGCATGATGACCATCAAAACTTACCATTTACATATTTTAGCAAACAAAGGCATTAATGTTCATTGGCTACAAATTGCATTGCTCTTTTATTAATTAATCTTCTACTGGTCAATGATTCCCTCGCTTTTCATGCTGATTAGCCTGCACAGTCCTCCTCTCTCTTCTCTTGAGCCAGTGAGTTTCCTGGGCCGTGAGTCAGTGATTGTAGCTCTCCCCCTGCCAGAATTACCTTTTACCCAGTCAGAGCTGATTCCAGCAGAGTTGATGAGCAGGCTTTGTTAGTTTCTTCCTTATCTTGGGAATTTTGCCACATGTATTTGTGGCCCTCAAAGTTTGCATTCTTTGTGTCCACTATCAGGAGCACACCCTTCTTGCCAAGCTGTGTTAACCTCCTCCTAGGTCACTGAGGCATGTCAAGCCCTAAACTTTAACAGGGCTATTCTACCAATAAGTAATTTATCTTTTAAACATTTAATAGTTGAGAGTTATGTATATATATATTTTTATATATATATATATATATATAATAGTAGTAGTATAAGTCTCTTTTAATATATGACACATAATATATAAAATACTATATACAAACAGCGTTATTGTAAGTCTCATAATAGATATGAGACTTTTACTATTTAAGTCAAATTTGAGTGAGGGCACTTTTTGAGAACCTGAAAAAAGCATCTCCCATATATATGTATATACATATATACATATATACATATATATGTGTGTGTGTGTGTATATATATCCCAAGGCTTTGGACTCACTTATGTATGTATTTTAAATATATATACAAATAAAAATATGCATATAAATATTACTATATATAGAGATAGCTAGATAGCTAGATAGATAGAGATAAATATATAAAATGAGTGCATTAGTCTCTTCTCTGGGTTGCAGAGTAGCGGAGCTCCCCGGGGCGCTCCGGGGGTGCGTTCCCGGCCGGTGCAGCCCGGCTTTCCCGCACGTGACCGGACGCGCCTCCCGCCGCTGCCCGTGCCCGGTGACGCGGCCGGGGCGGGGCCGGCGCCGCACCGGAAGCGGCGCGTCCCCCCCGCCCGCCGCCGGCGGATCGCAGCGCGCCCCGAGGCGGCCCCGGCCGCCGCCACCGCACCGCGAGGCCCCGGAGCGGCGGGCCCGGCTCCGCTGTGCGCCGGCAGGTGCTGCGGGAGGGCGGCGGGAGAGGCTCCGCGTCCGGGCGGGCGGAGGCGGGCGCAGCGGGGCCGGCCGGCGGCGGGCCTGGCTGCGCGCGGTGTGTGAGGGGACGGAGAGCGCATCCCTGCCCTCCCGGGGCTCCCGAGAGTTGCAGCCACAGGTTAATCGGAGCCCGCGCACGGTGCAGGAGTGCGGGCAGGTGAGGGAGCGGAGCGGAGGTGAGGGAGGCAGGGTGTTGCTCTCCAAGGCAGGGAGAGCACAATGTAATGCAAGGTTATTGCTTAACTGGAGCGGGGGAGAGCTGCTTCCCACTTCTTGCAGGAAATGAGTGCGTGCGGGGTTATTATTGCGCTTAAAAATCAGTGCCTACTAGACTGATAATTTTCTTGACTGTTGCTTTATTTTTCTCTGACAGGAAAACATCCCCCATTATCTTGTTTTCCGGGCTTCTTACATCTAAATGTAGTATAAGAAATACTATCAGTAACTATGGGGTGGCCTCTTGCACTTCAAAGGAACAGCATGTTCTCTAAAACCTGTTCCTTTGCAGTGCTCACTGGCCCCTAAGGTTTCATTAATGAGAACAAAAGAAATGCTAAAAAAGAGGTTATGTCCAGGTCATGCATGTTGGCACTGTTTGTTCCTAAAAGCTTTTTCTCACATCTTTTTTTATTCTAGAACTGATGTTTTCATTTCTTTGTTACCAGACTTATGAAGTACTTTGGATTTTTTGTTCTTTCTGTTCAAGAGTCATATATCTGTTAAGATTTCTTTCATATTTTTAATTCCCATCAACTTTGATTTAGGAAATTCTTTTGGACTTTTTAACACATCTTGGTCAGGAGTAGAATTCTTCATTTCTCTCAGTGGCACATATTCACATTTTTACTTTGGGCTGCAGGAACATTAACTGAGTCCTTGGCAGCTTCAGGTATGAAGGCTGCCTGACCTCTGCAGATGTAGTTTATCACTTCAGGCTACAAACAGGCTCTTAAGAACTGTCGGGGTTGTTTTGGCAGTCAACCTTTGGACAGTACTCTCTAACTTAAAATGCTGTGTTTCTTTTGATCATGTTGGAGAATAAGGTGGCTGTGTTGCCAGACTTGCATTATCATTTTACCCTCAGCTATTTCTCTAGTGCTTCCTGGGTTTGTTTGGTTGTTTGTTTGGTTGGTTTTTTTTGTTGAAGATCATAACACTAATTTGTACTTCAGCTGAAGATAGAACTTGAAAATGTCATGGAAGCCCAAACTAAAATCTTTTAAACTTCTGATAAAAACCCAAAAAATGAACTCTGAAGTATTTGGCACTAACGCTTACTACTGTATCTTGGGAGTATGGTTTGCTGTTAGCCATAATCTTAGTTTTATATAATTTTGTTTCATGATTACCTGCAAGTTGTGTACCTTATCTTTTCTAACTCAGTTATAGAAAATTTGACCATAGTTTTTAGTGTTCTCTTGCAAAAACAAGGGTTTTGTTAGATGTAGTAATTGGAAACTAATTTTGTTTTGTCTGTGTTTAGTTTCAATTTTGTTTACAGGACTAGTTTGTTGATGTTGGTTTCTCTGTTGGTCCACAGAGATTTCATTTGATGTTTTGCACCACCACTGTACATGTGGAGCAGAAGTGATTGTGTGTGCTTGAGATGTTTAGTGTTGTGCCTGCCTTGGCTAAGTGACCATTACAGACCAGTCATGACAAGTTAAAAAGTGATTAAACAAGGCCAGCAGTTTCTCCTTTGCTCTTCTTTGGAGTGTTGAGCACAGTTGTCTGCTGGTTTCTTACAACAATAACACAAGTCTGGAGTAGAATAAAATTGCATGGATTGTTTTTAAAACAGTATTATCTGCTTCATAAATTGCATCTGTCCCTTGACAGTGCTTGATTGGAGAGGGGTAGGTATAGTAGAATAAATATTAGAAGTGCTGTTTAGCACTTAAAGACAGGCTTTTGGAATTATTATGGTAGTGGAGAACAAAAACACTCTGAATTTCTGTGATACTCCATCTTGAGCTTAATGAATGCTTTATGGGTCATGCACTCTGCATATGTTAACAAAAGCAACAAGCTACGGACCCAAACCATCATCTTTTATTATGAGTTGTATGATACCTTGTGTAAGCTATTCTTGAACTGGCTTGGGAAGTATGTATTTCTGATTGCTGGAGACTAAGGAATGTAAAATATGTGTTAAAATGGAATATACCTGTGATATTTTGTGAAGGGGCTGTGTATTAATAGGCCTACAGTGGAGTGCAAAGCAGCATGACACGTTAACTAGTGGTACTAAATGCCTTGCAGCCTCTCAGAAAATCCAAGACCTGAAGCTTGTCTGTTTTCATGTACAGGTGATAGAAACCTGTGCATGACAGGTTTGTAAGTAACTAAGTACTGGCAATAACCTTTTGTAGTGCCAGTGTCTGAGAGAGCCAATAACATGCTGGTTACTTGTGGAGAAAGCATCACTTCAGATAGCTTGGTGCTGTTGTGAATCTGTTTCAGAATAGGTTAGAAGTGGAAGCATACAATTTGATTAATTTCTGTTGTTAATGTGCTTGCTCTGGCTTGTGTAGTTGGGTTAGAAATAGAGCATAGACTATTAAAAATGGAGTAGTTAAGTTTTTGTATAAGTGGATGTTAAATTGCTTTCTCTGATATTTGATTCTACATGCAGAGGTAAACAGTAGTGTTTTTTTCTCTTTAATTAGATCACCCAGAAGACACAATGAGCGTTAAAGCTTTCAAGCTCGTTTCTGCTGTTGAGCGGGAGATGTTAATGGGAGACAAAAATTACATCAACATTGAGTGCATTGAGTGTTGTGGGAAGAACCTCTATATTGGAACCAATGACTGCTTTATCTATCACTTTCTGTTGGATGAAAAGGTATCCACAGCTGGAAAAATAACTTTTGCTGCCACCAAGCAACTACACAAATACCTGGGTTTGAAGAAGCCTGTGAGTGAGTTGAAAGCAGCCTCTGCCCTCACAAGACTGCTTGTGCTTTGTGACAACACGATAACACTAGTGAACATGATCAACTTGGAACCTGTCCCCACTGGTGCTAGGATCAAAGGAGCTGTGACATTCACCCTGAATGAAAACCCTGTGAGTGGGGATCCTTTCTGCGTTGAAGTTTGCATTATCTCGGTCAAGCGCCGGACCATTCAAATGTTCATGGTGTTTGAAGACAGAGTCCAGATAGTGAAGGAAGTGTTTACTCCTGAACAACCCTGTGCTGTGGCTGTAGATGGTTACTACTTATGCCTTGCCCTTACTACACAGTATATAATTTTGAATTACAATACTGGCGTCTCCCAGGACCTATTTCCTTATTGCAGTGATGAGAAACGGCCAATTGTGAAAAGAATAGGCAGACAAGAGTTTCTGTTGGCTGGCCCTGGAGGCCTAGGTGAGACTAAGGATTTTAATTTTTTGCAATTTTTATAGCTTCTCTTTATTTCTCTGAATTTCTGAAGCAAAGCTTTACAAATTAAGTGTTATGCATAATAATCATGGTTTCCTTCACAGGTCTATATTGGAATGCTGAGATAAAAAGGGAGATGGTAAATTTTTGATACTTAGTACTATTATAACTCTATAATACTATTATAAGTGTAAAAAACCACACTAAGTGTTTTTTTATTAATGCACAAGATTTTATGATTATTTTTATTCTCATTATGTGTTTTATTTTAATCAAAGCTTCATTTCATTGTATCTTGCAGGCCCTAGTAAAAAAAAAATTGTTGAGTACCAAGTGAAGTTTCAGAGATTGATAGAGAGTCTGTAGTGACTAGAGGGTTTGTTGAGGGTTGGTGGGTTTGTGAATATTGCTACAAAATTGTTCAATTAGTGTAGATGAATTAATTTTTTCCTCAGTTGCTATTCAGAGGAGCTCTTATGAAGTCCGTTTTATAGATTTTAACACATTCACAAGAAGGTATGTTGTGCCACAGTATTAATAAGAACCTTTAGTGGAAGTAAGTTGCATCCTACCTCCTATAATAGTAAATGCTGTCTCAACTGTAGGTGTTATCAGATACTAGCCAGCTTTTATGCTCTCATTTGCTTAATATTTTAGTAGTATTTTTCAGCTCTGTGTTAACAGAAAGTTATAGCTTAAGTATTGCAAAACCAAAGTTAAATAATGTGAAATCATGCTCTTGTCTAAGAGAGACTGTAAGGACTACTGTAATCTATCTAAATGGACAATATGCTGTGATGTCAGTAATCTTGAGCTTTTTTTGGAAAAGCTGCAATATCCCAGAACTGACAGACCACAGGCAGAATGCTTTCATGCTGTTTGCCATATGACTCGCCTTTCAGGAGACTCTGTTTATGTATTTTCCCTGAAACATTAAGAATAGCATGGCACAAAGTTCACAGCTATTTAGGTTCTTAACTTGGGTTTTGGTTTTTAATATGAATTCCAAAGAAAATCAAGTGTGCAATATAAATTCTAAAGAAAATCATTGCTTATGTTGAAGTTTTGCTTTGTGACCAGAATGCAAGATGTACATAAGCTCACCAGCTTTTCTCTGAAGAAGTAGACTCAGTAGAATTTGAGTTTATGTTAATTAAGATGTTCCAAGATGAACTTGGGTTTTTTTTTTCAGATACAGTGCTTTTCTAAGTCATTTTGGCTGCCCACTTCCTATTAAAGTTCTTAGTTCTTTTAAATAGGGACTTGCACTTTTGGACATTAACTGTTTTAGTACTGCTAGGGAAGTTAAAATTTGTCAATTAGCTGATTTTCTGAGTAGATTCCATTCTTAATTCAATTTTTACAATTTTTTAGGCATGTCAAACCAGATTCTGTTCAAGTAATTTCTCTTTTCTTTTTTCTTTAAGAATATCATTTCAAAAGCATAATTGTATTTAGTTAGGAATCAGAATTTTATTTAGTCTGACTTCTGCTTTTGTCTGGTGTACTGTAAGAGGGATACATGAAGAGAAGATTACTCATAAAGTACAACATCCTTGTGTAAGTAGAATGTCAGATATGGGAGATCTTGAACAACTTCACTTGTGCTGCTGTAAATGTGCTATAAACCATTCTTTTCCTCATGATATGGGCAAAGTCTTTCTTGTACTGCCTCAGAGACCTTTTAGAGTATTTGCTCTCAACTGTATCGTTTTTCCTTACTTAATTAATCTTTTTTTTTTTAATCTCCTGTTTTCTATTCCCTCCCCAGTGATGTTTTGACTAAGTATTATCCTTCTTGCTGTTCCTCCTTGGTACAATTCCTAGTGTATTTAACGTTTGTCTCTTTGAAATTATGAAGATAGCTGGGCATATTTATAGTAGATAAGCATTGTGTATCTTGATATCTCAGGTGGGCCTCTGCTGTGGAATGCATGGACTTGAAAAGGCTTGATGTAAATCTTCAGTTCTAATTTTGTTTTCTTTCATATGTCTCATTGATCAGGGCATGCTGGTTTGGCATTTGGTAGAGCATCTATGCTAAGTTCAACCTCTTTTACAGAGTGGAGATATTCTGCATTAATGTATTTGGCTTTAGAGTGTTTGAAGTGACACTTATTTGAATTCATTTTCTTTTGAGTTAAGACTGGAATCTAGATTGGCAAAAAGCAAGTGCTTAAAATGATAATCAATGTAGAGCATCTCTGAGTTTATTGTGTATGTAACCTTTTTTTTATCTGTACACTGGATTTTAAACTGGTTGTTAGAATTGTTCATAGCAGATCCTTATCCATTTGGCACTTTGTTGTCTTTACTTGCAGTTAGTATTTAGCTCTTTCTTTCAAAAGTGGGAAGAACTTCATTTTTGGTGCTTCTTCTTTCTGTCCAGTAATTAGTTAATTTACAGTTGAAAATCAGTCCTTTCTGATATGTATGAAACTGCTTACCAAAATTCAGTTTTTTAGTTTGTGAAACTCTTGTTGCATGTTTTTAATCAGATTTCCTATTGTACAGAGGCTTTAAGTGTTTGAAATTACAGTGGACACTTCTTGATATTGGCACAGGATATGCTTCCCGGCACCAGCTGGAGCAACTGCCCCAGGAGGTCTGAGGTGTTGTCTCAGGCTGAGCTCCCAGTGAAGGGTGCAGCTCCTCACACCCTGAGCTGTGCAGAGTGTCCCTGCCTCATGATGAGGCTGGACCAGGGAAAAATATTGGCCTTGCCTGTATGTGTGCTTGGCTGAGGATTTCTGTTGCCAAGTAAATGAGATGCAGTGGAGGTCAGCAGAGTACATGGCACCAGAGATGGCAAAAAGGAAATTGAGCCCAGGCGTGAGGCTTGAACCTCCAGCTGTACAGAGGAAAAGGACAGGCTGGGTCTCTGCTGTTCTGTGGTGGCTGACACAGGAAACTCATGATTTCTGATAATGGGAAGAATTCTCCTTCTCTGCTTGCTGATCTACATCCATATAATACACTCAGTGCTTACAGTAGCAGATGAAAAGCAGGAAGTTCTGTCCAACAAATCTGTACAGTGCAGTAGCACCAGGAGGAATTAGCAAATAATAGTAGTGGGAAACTCCCTCATATTGGAGATGGGGGTTTTCTCATCAATCCTGCTGCTAAGGAAACATCTTGAGGAGGAGTACATGGATTGTGTAGACCACTAATGGATTGTACAGTTTGTGGTGATGGGTTTTGTCTTTTAGGACTATGGATCCCTATTTAAGGAAGAGATGGGATCCACCAGGTCAAGTGAGGCAAAAATGTTTTTATCATCTTGACTGAGCAACCTAAATCCAACACGGTGAGTTGGATTTAGGTTAGGCGTGGTGGTAGGCTGTGTTGGCAAACAAATCAGTGCAAGGTGGTGTGATGAGAGTGTCATAAGCAGCAAACACAGCTGAAGAAGTTCTGCTTCAGGCATATGCAGAGAAAGAAGTCTTTACAGAACATTGTGGTAGTGGAAGCTTTCTCACTTTTTCTGGGAAATCAGCACAGCTGTGTTTTAACAGCTGAGATGGGACTTAACCTTCTCTGAGATGGGAATTAACCTTCTAAAAGGGCAGCACAGCAGCAGACAAGGAGGCCAGGAGTTTTCCAGAGTGCACTGATAGTGACCAAGGAAATGATGAAAGGGGTGTGCTCTGTTGAACATCAGTGTGTTATCAGCATTGTTCTACTCAATCCAAAACACCAGCTGCTAAGAAATACATTAACTCTGTCCAAAACCAGGGCAGAGCCCAATGTCCATCTGGCATTGACTGTGCTGAACACCATGAAGGGCAACAAAAAGAGCTTCTACAAGCATATCAGCAGCCCAGGAAGGCTCGTAGAAGCCCACTGTTAAATGGGGTGGAGGGCCTGATGCTAAAGGGCATGGAAAAGACTGAAAAGACTGAGGAGCTTAATGCCTTCTTTATGTCAGTCTACTGGTATGAACTTCTTTCAGGAATCATCAGCCCTAAGGAACAGTGGGAAAATTTGTCCTCAGCAGAGAAGGATCAGGTTATGGAACATTTAAATAAGCTGGACAGACAAATCCATGGGACCTGATGGGATGTTCTCATGAATGCTTGAGGGTGATGGTCAATGTCATTTTAAGGCCAATTTTTTATCTTTGAAAGATCATGATGATCAGAGGATGTTCCTCAGAACTGCAAGAAAACATGTTTTCACTCCTGCCTTAGGTGATCAAGAGAAAGGAACCAGGGAAGTGCAGCCAGCCCTACCCTGATCCCTCAGGGAGGTGATCTGAGAAAATCCTGGAAGCTGTTTCCAAATATACAAAGAGCAAGAATGTGATTTGAAGTAATCCATGTGGATTTAAAAAGGGAAAATTGCCTGACCAGACTGTCTTCTGTGATTAGAGGCCAGCTTGGCGAATGAGGGGAGCTGTGATCTTGTGAAGTTCAGAGAGGGTTTGACGCTCTCTGCCATGACATCCTTTGCAAAAAAAGAGATGAAGAATGAGCTGGAGAAACAGCTGAGGTGGATTGAAAGCACGGCTGAAAGATTTATTGTGAGCAGTGCAGAGTGCAGCTGGGGGCCAGCCTCTGGTCTTGTACCCCAGGGGGCCAATGTGAGATCAGTACTAACATAATTTTAACAACATGGCTAGTAGGGAAGGGCACACCTTCAACAGTTTGCAGATGATACAAAATATTAAAATATTTCTGTATCTCTTGGTGCTGAAAACAGTGTAGCTTTGTTTCAGGTAACTCTTGTAATCTGTGGGTAGCCTATGCAATTTTTAATATGGAATTGATTGCCGGCCTCATCTCAAGTTTTATCAGATGCATTCCTGTACTATAAAGGCTGTGGTTCCTGGTTGTAGTTATGTTTATTGTTATCCTTAGGTGAGAGCTGGATGAAGACAGAAAATGCATCGTTCTGCCTCAGAAGCTCTAGCTATTGAAGGCAGAGGGATGTAGAGAGACATTGACTGGAATGCATGCCTTTTCACTTCCATAAAAGATTTTTAAAATTACCTAAAAAGATATTTTTCATTAAAAAAAAATATGAGGTTTATAATTATTTGTGTTTGAACATCGCAGAAATAGAAAAGCCTAAGAATTAGTCTTTCAAATGTAATAAGCCCTAAGTTTACTACTGGTTAGCATGTATTTAGTACAGGTTTTCTCCCATGTTTTGAAGTGGGATTATATCACGGAATAACAACTGAAAGCCTTTAAAACTGGACAGTACATTTTGCCTGACATAAAATTTCACTGCTGAGTCATAAGAATATCAAGATCTATAGAGTAAATTAGAAATTATATACTACAACTTAGAAATTTTATGTAAGGTGGTCTGGTTGACAAGCTGATTGTTGTAGTGAAAAGGAACCCTTAGTCAAGGGGAAAGGGCTGCTCATTTGAATGCCACTGTAAGGGATCCAAAAGCTTGATCTCTATACTGTAGTTCTGTAAAAGTTTACATTCTTCTGCTTTGTTTTCTCTGTTTTACTTTTTTTTTCTTTCATTCCAAGAAGGTCCTTGTACCCAGCTCGCCTTGCCTCATTATCCTCTGTTTGGAAGAGATTTTGTAAATTGAATAACATAATCTTTTAATCTCTTCTGTTCTTTAGAGCTCAGACTTATTCTGCCAGCTGTCAAGTGGCTCACTGCTGCCAAAGATCAATTTTCATGGGCATGTCTTTTTAATGGCCTGAGAATTCTTGGTTTAAGGGATATGAATTCATATTTAGAACAGAAGTTTACACTGTGCTAGTAAATATTTATGGAACTAGGCCTGAAAATTGTGACTGAAATTTCTCTTCAATTGATGTCTCAGAATTGGGAAATATCTATATGAAAAGAACCAGTGGCATGTGGTCCTAAAGCAATTTAAAATTTAAAAGTTTATTAAGCTAGGAGAAGAATGGAGGACAGAACAGGCATGAGGAAAGGTTTTTTCATTGTGAAAAACACCCTGCAAATTAACTGAAGCTTTAATCTTGTTGTTCTGAAGACGGCATAGGAGTTATCGCTGTAATAATAGAAAGTCTTTACTTTGTGCTGCTTTGTACACAGCCTCTGCATTTTTTCAAATGATTGAAAATGCAGATGCTTCACAGGAAGTGAGTCACCCCAAGGAGCTGGGCCCTTGTTCTCTGAAAAGGTTGGCTGTAGCAAAAGTGAAAAAGTGTAAGTAAACAATTGTGTCCACTAAAATGCTCTGTAGTCATTGGACACTACAAGAACAAACACATCTGCATTGCCAGATAGGTCAGGTGGTGCAGGTCTGCAGCTCCTACTAAGGCAAGATTCTTTGAAAGCTGGGTCTCAACAAGTGTTACTGTTCTGGTATGAATTCAAACTACATGGCATAATTCCTTTAAGAAAGCTCTTAAACTTTCTGAATTGAATAATTCTTGCTAGTTTGTTTCAGTATTCATCTCTTATCTGTTTATGGCATTGTCTCTTCCTGTGCAGAGACTGTGATGAAGAATGAAAAAAAAATTGAACTGAATTAACCAACACCTCTGTCAGGTCCAGGGAAGTGTGATGGTGTTCTCATCATGCTGCCTTGATACTGCATCTGCTCTGAGATTTTCCATTGCTGTACTTTGGTACCCTGCTTTGTGTTGGGAAGAACAGTCTTCAATCCTCAACTAGCATGAGCCTCAGGCTTTGTTTTTCCCTTTTTTAGGCATGTTTGCTACTGTAGATGGGATTTCACAGCGCGCCCCAGTGCACTGGTCAGAGAATGTGATTGGGGCAGCTTTGTGCTTTCCTTACGTGGTTGCCCTCGATGATGAATTCATTACGGTGCACAGCATGCTGGACCAGCAGCAAAAGCAAACCCTGCCCTTTAAAGAAGGTCACATTCTACAGGACTTTGAAGGTATTAAAAAGGACACTTTGTTGCATCAGTAATTCTGGAACAACCACTGAAGTCACTTGGATTTGTTTTTTAAACAAAGTATATAACAAGTGTGTTGACTGTTGAAACTTTTGTTGCAAGTGCTTTCCTCATTAGATTCTTTGCAGACTTCAGTAATTCAAAATTCCACGCTTCTAACAAAATGTATGCTCATTAAATATGCTGTTATTGTCAACTTAATTGTTGGGTAGGAATCTATGGAGTTAGAGCTTTTCCTTGTAGCTTGGTTATTTCTTTCAAAGGAGCAATGTTAATTTAATGCTACAACTCAGTAATTATGATCTACAGGTATTTGTCCATTGATTATCCTGACAAAATTCTTACATATTAGAAAGGAATTCAAAAGAAAAATAATTTTTAAAATATCTGTGTAAGAGGTTTAAAATTGGGTTTTCACATAGAACTGATAACTGAAAAAATGCAAAAATTTCTATTGATCTATTCTTAATTGAGAACTCAAGTGTGGAATATACTATGCTACTAATTTTTTTTTTTCCAGAAAAACTACAAACTCTAGCACTGTGAACTGTATATTTCTTGCTAGATTTTATGTATGGCTTAAAATTTTAAAATATAAGCCTGGGGAAATACCTGTTTGTTAAAAGTTCCTACTCTCTGGAATCTGGACAATAATTTCAGTGGCCTTACCAGCTTAGTTCATCATGAGTGACTCTAGCCAATTTCTCTTACTTTGAGTGGAACAACATCTGCTGTAACTAAATAAATTTACCAATATCTTTTTAATTCTGAGGTAGAATTCATAGGTAAACCGTACTATCAAGTAAATGTGGTAGCAGCAAAGGTCACTTTTGGGACTTTAACCCTGTTTAAGTTTTTACATCTTAAACTGTGTATTTTAAAGCTTATTACTGAAATTGCTTTTTCCTATGGAGGCTGTGAATTGAATATATCTGTTTGTTCTGTCCAGGAAAGGTGATTGTTGCTACTAACAAGGGTGTGTATATCTTGGTGCCACTACCTTTGGAAAAGCAGATTCAGGATCTTTTAGCTAGCCACAGAGTAGAAGAAGCCCTTGTTCTAGCAAAAGGAGCTCGAAGGAATATTCCAAAAGAGAAATTTCAGGTTTGTCCTTCCTTTAATTTTCTTGAAAACAGAAATTTCACAGTGGGGTCATGTATTCCATTGGTCAAGTGATTGGAGAATGTGTGGGAGGAATTTACATTGTAGAGAAGTTGTAATACCTTTTATGATTCCAGCCTGAGGAAATAGGTATTCTGCTAAATTGTTTTGTACTTGTAGAAGCTGTGAATTTGGCAGGATTGAATGCTGTTGTTCTTCTGGAATTTTGTTGAATTTTTTCAACTGTGTAACTTGAGAGAACTGAAAACAAAGCATAACCAGAAATCTAGTGGCAGAAAATCCAGTGAATGCTTCTTTGGTACTAGATTCAGTTATTATTTGCTATTGCTGTTTAATAATGTATTCTTTAGTTCAAATTAGAATTTTGAAATTTTACTTTTTTATTTAAGGTTCTCACCATATCCTAAACTCCACAGTAGCACTTAACTTCAAAGTTAGGTGATGGGAAATCTTAAGCAAATGCATCTTACTTCCAAGCTCTTACAAGTAGTGCTTGTACTGCTGTGTAACTCAGATTTAAAGGTTTTTGTGTCTTAAACTCTTTGATTACAGTGTTGATTAAAGATTTGTACTCATTCCCTTCTACCCCTAATTTATATTGCCATACATATTCTACTGTATTTTCTCCTATTTAGAGACTTGTAAAAAGCAACATGACATCTCTACTCATGGAGTAGGTGAATGGATATTTGACTTAGTTTCTTTCCTATTGTAAAAGCAAAATTTGATCTGTAACCTGCAGAAAATCTGTGGTTTTCCTTTTTTTAATATACTTTGGAGAATTTTGTAGCCATTAAAACAGTTGTGTTACTTTTGGTTTGTTAAGAAAGGTATACATGACTCTGGAAGATACAAGATTGCAATGGTTCATGACTATTCTGGCTGTCAGGATTTTTTTTTTAATGTTTTTTAAATTTCAAGAAGCTTCTAATTCCTTTTCATTTCAGTTTCAGTCAAGGCCTAAAAGGCAGTCATTAAATGAAACTTGTATCAGCTTTCATTTTGATCCTTAATTCCTCTCTTAAAAGAGCAGCTGGGAGATGCTGGAACTAAAAAGCTCGTCGAGAAAAGTGTTCCCATCCTTTCATAAAGGTCCAACTACCTGAAAGTACTTGAAGCTTACAAGTATTTAGGCAGCCACAGGGTTGTTTCCAGCATGTTTTGCTTTGCATCTTCACTTCCTACTTTTCCCTTCCAATCTGTTTAAAGAAGCAAACAAAAATCTCACTGTGAGGGTAGGATGCATAATCTAATCAATGTCCTCTATGTGTGATGATCTATGATTTTCCAGTTATTTCTTTACAGTTCATGTAGGTTTAGTGTGGGAATGACTTTCTGTGTTTTGCCACTGGATGAACTGCAATTCATTATCTAAAATACATTGTGTAGACTCTCATTCCTCCTCAGTTTTCTTGCATTAAGAATTTTTCAGCCTTTAAAATATGTTACTTTCTTTTCACAAATGTCTTAAGTGTACAGGGTTGGTCTTCCTGAAATTAGTTTCCTAGAGTATTTTAAGTTCTTTCTAACTTAGTGGGCTTTTAAGGATATTCACTTATTTTAACCAAATGCTACAGCTGAAAACCAGAAAACATAGTTCTTGCAAGCAAAATAGCTGTTCTATTTCTGGATTGTATTGGCAAATTGATATTAACCAATTATCAAATTCTTGAATTGATGGAGTTTCCCACTGACTCCTACTAAAGTGACTCATCTTGGCCTAGTTGTTGAGAAATTGCTTCAGTTTTTCAGAGCTTGTCTGTAGCTGGAAATGTAACATGTTGAGTTTGCTTTCCAAGGGGACTCTGATACCTGATATTGTCATTACAGGTTTGTTACAGACACATCAGTCTTTCTTTGCTGTAGTCTTGTGTAATGTAAGTCTGATGGACCTCAACCAAATTGCACACCTTAAATATGTTTTTGCAACATTTCTTTGACATACTTTAACTGACCACACAGCTCTCATTTCTAACTCCTTTTTGAGAGCTATCCTCAGATAGCTATCATATCTATTAGAAAATTGGTATTTTGTAATAGGTATCTTCTGGTATCTGTTTGCAGGCATTACTGAATCCTGAGCAGCTGACACTTCAAAGGCCTTATTTTGCCATTTTGTACAAGCAGTAGGATGGAGTGCATAGGGTTGGCATTAAGACACTTGATCCAACCACTATAATCTATCCATACATTATAGTGATTATTATTGTGTGGTTCATGAAGTACAGTGTTCTCTTTGTCACATGATGCAGTTTTCAATGGCTGATGCCATCTTATGTGTCCCTTGAACCCAGGGCACTGCAGGGCAGATCTTGAGGACATGGGGGTTTTTCCCTGCGGTTCAGTGCTTTGTCACTGCATGCATACATGGGTGCATGCTCTCCCTCTGTATAACAGCATAAACAAATATCTATATATGCTGGTAATGCAGAATGGCAGTGGAATAGCAGCAATGAAATCCTGGACTCTCAGAATGATTTGTACAGTCAATATTTAGTTATTGAAAAGTAGCAGGTCATGCCTTAGAAGCTCTAAGAACCTCTTATTTGACTTGTGGTTCCCGCAGACTGCAAATTTAGCTCTGCCATAACAGATGAAAATTTCTTTGTTTTTGAGCATCAGGAATTCCTGCTAGGTAAAAAATGCTAAGGAAAAGTACTCCAAGGAGATGGATATCTCTGCTGGCTATAATTTTTGATAGAATACAAAGGCCTTTCTACCATGCTACCATGAAATAACTGAATACTACTTATTAATTTTTCAGGACAGCTGACGTTTGCAGAAATCATGGTTGATGGTAGTGAAGACCTTGGTTAGATTGACACACATCTTGCATAGGTATCTCTCTCTTTTTTTTTTTTCCTTTCTAATTCTTTTTAGTTAAAAAACCATATTAACTGCACCCAAATCTGACCAAAAGACAAAGTTGCTTTCTAGAAAAATTCCTTTGGACAATGTAGTTGGGAATTCTGACCATTTTAGAAAGGATTTTTTAGCAGTTGAGAGAATTAAGACTTCACTACAGCAATCACAGCTTCAGCAGTCATCTTTCTTTTTCTTATTGCTTTTTCAGATGTGAATTAATACAAAACTTATGTCATGTTTTTGTAGCTACTGTTTTTTATGTGAATTTAGTCAACAGTGCAGAATTTGCCTAAAGAACTGCAAGTCCTATGGTAGTTCTTCAGAAATTATAAGGGACTAAACAATGTGTTGAATTTTGACTGGGTGTAACAGTACTTTTTTAAAAGAAGCCTGTTCCAGATCTGACAAAATGATCTGGAAGAACTGTAGGTTTTTTTCTGTCATAAGCAGAATTTAACTGAGTGAGTTTGACATGTAGGTATAGCCCATTCTTAAAAATCTGTGAGAAAGGGAATATTGGATTTTCCATAATCTGCTCTGTTTTCCTCCATAATCTTTACCCTAGGACATCTTAATATCTAGTGTTTATACTGTCAGCTAAAAATCTACCTGGGTACTGCCTATCTCATCATTGCATCTTAAAAAAGTTCAGAAAGTGTCTGTCTGTAGATATTCTACAATTTTTTGTTGCATGTCTTTAAGGGAGAATTGAAGATATGTCAACATTTAAATGAAAGTGAATACCACTTTATCAGTGCAAATTTAAAACTGGTTCCTTCAGCCTATAGTTACACTATCAATGAACTCTTTTCCATTTTTTGTCAAAAAGATGCTGAACAGATTAAACTCTGCAATTCAAGCAGTGCTTTCAGTGTAATTAATTTGAACTTTATTACAAAATCATGATCAACTAAATATGTAAATTTTAGTGATCACTCTCTTGCAAAAATTGAAAACTCGCTTTGTGGGGGGAAAAATGCCAGGCTATCTACTCTTGATAGTAGTCAGTGGGGTGAGAAGTCTTTCCCTGGAAAGTCAGGATGGATTTTAACGTTTTCCTGCTGCCATGAGATGCAAATATTTGCAGAATTTAATCCTTCAGCAGTGTCATTAGGAAGGTGACCAGGTAAGTATTCATTGATTCACAGATTAGTGTGTAGTGGTGTAATAACACTGTCAGAAGTCCAAAATATTCTGGATATTTTGTGAGTCAATCCCCTAAAGAAGTTTTACTGTGTAGCTAATTGAATTCTCTTTTAGCTTTAGTTAACTCTATTTTTAATCATTACATTTAATGTAAAGCATTAGTTAATATAAAGATGTCATGAAGTATTGCTTGTTTAATTTTATATTGTTATATTTGTCTGAAAAGCTGTGCCTGATAACATTACTCTCTGTTTCCCCTTTTCTCCTACACACTGGGGAGGCAAGAAAAGGTCCACAACCTTACAAAGCATTTTAGAGACTTGCTGACAACAGAGATTAAATATTTCCATTAGACAAACCATAAGTAAAGCATGCACAGACTAAATGGACTGAAGCCAAGCTTTTCTATTGGTAAATCCGTAACCTTTAATCAAGTTGAAAAATTACCAGAGTATCAGTCCCCTGTACTTGAGGCCTGGTGCTCTTCAGCAATTCCTTCCTGGAATACATTCCTATTGTATTGTAGTTTCTCTGTATATTTTTATTGAAAATGGTTTTTCTAAGTCTGGTATTAGTACCAGCCTGCATGTACATTGTGAAGCACTAGAAAACTGTGTATTCATGAACAAATTGAAGGGAAAAACTGAGGACATGAGAAGGTAGCTGGGTGTATTTGCCAAAGTACCAGTGTTGTCACAAATGGGAATGCTCTGCAGAGCACAGTTTAGGTTCCTTGCTCTTAGTACTTCTCTTTTGCTGTTGGAAATATTCTGAGCACAAGGAATTCATTTAATCTTGTAATTGGTAGTTGGTTGACCCCTCAGATTTAATAACTACCTATCATTTAAAGTAGTTTTTGTGTTCTCTTTCTACTGAGCTTCATTTAAACACTTTTTTGTCTAGGTGTGACCTTAACAGTAAAGTTTGATAACAAATAACTTTCCATATTATGGTTTACTTGGTCTTTAACTGTATTTTTATGGTACATTACATAATGTTCTGCATATTGGATAGGTTGAGCTGTTTTGGAAGAATTTTCTATTAAAAAAAAAATCACAGTAGCAAAACTGGCAGAAAGTCAAAAATATGGCCATCAGCTGGGGATGAACATATAAGAATTGCCAGCAGTTTTGCACCAGAGAGATGAGACAGGAAGGAAGTGGCTGTGTGTGGTTAAGTGGGATCATCTTCATTTTCTGCACTTTCTGAATTGTGGGAAACTTCAAAGATAACCATTGGCTTTTATGTTTGCAATTAACTCAAAAAACTTGAGGCAAGTCAGTGTGATGTCAGATAAGTCATTATTTGAACAAGAAAACTTAAACTTGCTGTTTGTTGAATTTGCTCTTAGTAAGTACTCATGAGCAGTGTTGTGTTCACACACATTTGTGTGAACACAATGAGTCTGGACAACAGATTCTATGTATTCAGGTAGATAATTTAAAATGTAGAGGATCAAGGTTTATTTTGCTTGTGACTTGTCAGATGTGGCTGAAGATGATTTGTTTGGTGTTTTTTGGCAGGTGGCTATTGCAGTAGTAACTAGCACTACATAGATACAAATATAATAAACCTTTTTTCCCCCTCCTTCTTTTTTATAGGTAATGTACAAACGAATCCTGCAGCAAGCAGGTTTTATACAGTTTGCACAGCTTCAGTTCCTTGAAGCAAAAGAACTCTTCAGGTAATTGTGTGACAAGAAATTTATTCATTTACCTTCTTTAAGTAAGGAGTTAGTGTTCTTGGTATGAAAACTTAGTTCCTTGAATGTTTTTTGATGTAGATGTGAGTTCACTGTAATAAAATGGTTTTGTTGCGGTTAAGAACAGAGTAACATTGAAACAACTTTTTAGCTCTAGAGTTAATTCAACTGGGTTTTTTTTGGGATGCTAACATATAGTAGTACTAAGAATTGAGTGCTGTATGTATGGAGATTTTTTTTTACTTTAAAGCCTTGACCTTCATGGGCATATCACCAAGTCTGTGCTGTGATTTACAGCATGAACATTGCTTTGTTCATTTTTTTAATACTTTTAACAAAAGGTATAACTTTAACATTAGTTACAATTGAAATATTATTGACAGGATTGCACTATTTTTATGAAGATGTTGATATTGAATTTGCTTTAACACTTGTTCTGCTAGACCTTTTCCAGAAGACAGATTTGTTCTTGAAGTCTGTACTAACCTTGCTGATTAAGCCATTTCAGCAGTCACTTGTTTATAAATTGACCTTGATATTCCACTTTCATTCAGAAAATGCTGCTTGTTACCTTTATTCTACCTGATAATTTCATTTCTGCTAGCCATGCCTCATTCTGTGATGCAGCGCTGCTGTGGTTAGTGGAATGCATGCTGACCACATAAAATAACTCTCCTTGTTATCTGCTGAAATTCACTTTAAATCAGTTTAGAGTCTGGAATAGGATTAAGGTTAGACAATTTTCAGTATACCGTAAGCATATTTAGAGTGTAGGAAAAAAGTTGTCCTTGGATTTATGGAAATGCATTGAGGAAAGTAAAGCTTTGAGGAATGTTGCTGTTGGTGAGGGACTTTGCCATTTTCCTTCCTGCTCACCAGTATGATGAGAGACACTGGGCTTGGATGAGCAGTGTACACTGAGTGAAGATGAGGGAATGACAGGAAAGGCCTGAACAGCATTTAGAGACAATTTGTTCTGGCCACGACCACTTCCTCTATCACCTAGTAACTGCTGTCATTAGTGAGAAACTTGCAATCTTTCTCCACCCTTATCTTTCAGACACTTGTGTATCTGACCTCTGGTTCTGTATCTGAAGCAGAAGTACAAGTGGTGCATTGTTAAGAATATTTTAAGAGCAGTGAAAAGAGGGAAATGTATCCTGTGAGGTGTTCTACCACCTTGTGGAAGGAGCCAGCATTGCTTATGCATCCTCCATCCAACTATCAGTCCCTCTGAGAAATAAGCTTTAATGAATAGAATTGTGGGAGCTCCTCTGTAGAAACAAAATGCTTCATGAGAAAATGTGCTGTCCAGCCACAAATTTTGCAGCTCAGGCAGCATCCCAGGGTGTTCCCTTCCTCTAAAAGCTGCACAACAAAGCAGAACAACAGTTTTGCTGATGAATGAATTGCTAATGTCTGCTCAGGGAAGAAGGCCAAAAAAAGTTTCTGTGCTTTTCTTCTGTCCAGCCATACATAAGCTAAGCAGAGTATTTTAGTGGTTCTGAAAAAACTTGCTATGGTAATCTGGTTCCTTGATTTTCAGCCCTGGTGGGCACACTGAGTTAGAGTAACAGCTGCATGTGCCCTGATACAGTCTCAATCAATCTTGTTCATTTTAAACTTACTGATACTCACAGGCAAAATGGGAAAGATAGTGGCAGTCTATGAAAGCACTTCCTCCCATCCCAGTGTGTTGCTCTGCAAATGTTTCAACTTTGTCTTAGAAATCACTTCAATCTTAATGTCAAAGGGAAACTTGGTACCTACCTGAGGAAGGAGGGTGTTAAGCAGTGAAATAGGGTAGCAGCAGTACCTCAGAGATCTTGGTGTGATATGTGGGCCTGCTTCTGGCTAAATATGAAGTGAGATTGTCTCGCTACTTGGAAAATATTTGATAGTTACAGCTTAGCAGGGGGAATTATATTGGCTTAAAGGTCTTCATTTTCTTGCATTATTACCCTTCTTGGACAACCTTGTCAAGAAACAGTTGTATCTTATGCATAAGTTCATAGTTCTTAAAGACTGGAACTTTTAATAGGAATAATTTGCCAAGTTCTTCCTAGTTAATGCTGATGCTTCTGAATACTGAAGAAGGTTGACAAAAAGGAAGAATGTGGTAGCTTTATTGAAATTCAAATAGTTCAACATAAGGGGGATAATTTTCTTGAGCTGGATTCATTAGCCTTAAAACTGAGTGAGAAGTAACAGTAGGGCTTCTTTGGTCTAACAAATTCTGTTATAAGCAATAACAAAATTGTGATTGTGTTACATAGTTGTGATTTATAGTTATGATATTTCATGTTGCTATCATTAGGGTTATACCAAACAGTGCTTTATAGGAGGTCATTTGCTGAATTTTCCACGCCTTACAGCTACCATGTTTGCTAGCTGTCATAGGGAAACCAGTTCTCTTCAGTGTTTACTGGTTAGATATTGCTTGCCTTCTGACCCACTGGATACTGGAATTTTTCTAAACTTTACTCTTTCTAACAAATAAAAATGTTCACTCTTTGCACAGTATTTCTCACCTTAAAAAGCCTATAGAGAGAATGTAGGTATAAGTTTCTCCTACACTGAAAAGGTTAAAAAAATTGCTGGTACTTGTACCTGGAGAAATAAAAAGTAAGAATGATATGGGTTTTGCATCTTAAATGTGATTCAAGAATATAAGCTTCCAATACAGCCAGTGGGATTTAGGTAAAACAGTTACCACTGTAGGCTTCTTTGGCATCTCTGATACCTGTAGATATAAGGGCCTGAATTTAGGCCTAAGTCTCCTGAAAACTTGTAGATTCTTCTTGTTGCATTGTTTATAAATATGAAGCCTGAAGAGAATTAATGCAGAATTGCTCAAAGGGAAGTTGCCTCACAACACTGATGTCTCAAGAGTTTGTTTTCGGCTGTGTGATCTGTGTTTTGCTGAGCCTGAAATGCTAGAAGCTGGAGGCTCAGATGTGTTTTTCAAAAGAGATGAGATCCTTTGTAACTACTCTAAAACAGTTTTGTCCAGATGTGATGGAAAGATCCACAAGACATCCACAAATCCCAGAGGCCACAAGCCTTGAGCTGAATGTTAGCCATTTGTGCAGGTGGGGTCATTATTTAGTATTTGGTATTTTTCTGAAGAAACTTGTGGATAATGTTGTGCTTTTAAGGAGGCTGCTTGATTGCTGCTTCCCACTGCTGTGAGGAGAGCAAAACTGTACAGCTAAACTTGAGTCAGACCTGCTGAGAGAACCCCAGGTGATTCACAGCCCAGGCTCTGGGCTAGCCAAAGTTTAAAGTGGATTCTTCTTTTGGAAACAGATCATCATTGAGGCCAGAATTTGTGAAGTCAGAGGTAAGGTAGCTGACTACTTCCTTATCTAGGAAAACTTGGGTGGTAAGATGGAAGGACTCAGAAGCTACTGTAGGAGTTGGAAAATGTTCTGAAACTTACTAAAAGTGGCATATTAAATATAACATTTTTAAACATCATCTATTTCAATGGTCAGAGTCTCCAACTCAAGCTTAGGGCCATCTTCAGATACTTGACAGCATAGCTAGCAAGGGAATCGATGTTTATATTTGAATTTCTCCAGATTTATTAAGACTCCTTTTTTCTGCACAAATTTTGAGCAGCCTGTGGATGTTATTCAAGTTATGGGTTGACTTTTGTTCTAAAACAAATCAGGGAAGATTCGTTTGGATTGGAGGGGAAAAAAAAATCTCTTTCTTCAAATAGGATTCATTTTCTAGTGTAATGAATCCCATATAATATATTTAATCTCAGGACTTGAAATTTCAGAGTAGTTGCAGTTGCTAAAACTGCAGTTAGGTTACTGTGATAAGTTCCTACTGAAAATTCAAATATTCTTGGAACTATCAGGTCATGCCACTGATAGAACTTGCTACTTCTGGGTTATTCTGCCTCTTATCATAATGTAGATCTAAGAATTTCAAAGCCAAATCCCAAAAGAAGGATTAAAAGAAATTTCAACTGCAGAAATCTGTGAAGTAGACCTGAATGCTTTACCCTCTGTTAGAGGTGGGTCTTTCTAGTTTGGAGGTGGGCTTTAGGCAGTAGAAGTTCTCTATAGGAATTGGGAAAACCTGCTGTTCATACCTCTCTTCAAGGGAAGGCTCCCCAGTTTTGTCTGTTGTGGTTCTTCTCTATTGTCTGTGTTGCTACTCCTGTGCTTTGCAGTCACTAGGCTCTAGAAGAGAGGATGCTGCTGTTAAATTTGCTGTTGCTGCTTTCTCCCAGAATTTCCTTCTTCTGGTATAGATTTTTGTAGCCAAGGGACTGCGTTAACTTGAAAGCAAAGTTCTAAATGGGGATTGTCATGATGGCTCCTACTAGTTCATATTTCCTGGATGGTTTTGGAATTGTGTCTCTGGCAAGAAGTGAACGATGCAGGGCATGCCTGTAGTGAAGGGATGAGCCTATTTATGATGATCTTTCACACTTTATTGCCTGTAGAAATCTGCTGCTTTTCTAATTCTGTGTTATCATTTGTTTCTTTTTGGAATTCATTCCAATCAAAGTTGTGAAGAGAAAGTCTTTGAGTTGGCTGATCACCAGGTAGATAAGAATTATTTTTAAAAAGTTCTATTTCCAACAAAATAACTAAACAAGGCTTCTTTTAGAGAACTGTCAAGTTTGATTTTTTCAGCAACAATATTTCCTGCTCTTCAGTAATGTTAATTTTTAAACGTGAATTCTGAATAAAAACTTTGACAGTGAAATAAAATGTTATAAAATATCCTGATATTTTATAATATCAGGATATTTTATTTTAAAACATTAGGATATTTGCTTGCTGTTCTTCTAAAGCAAGGCCTGGAAAGAGGGTTCCCTCTAGCTGTAAAAATTAGGGATTGTTTGCCATGTGGGGAAAAAAAAATTCTTCTCTCACAGCATGCGTTCTTTAAAAGCTTGAGGAATTTCAATGTAGGCTGAAAGAAAAATGTTTTATGTGGCATATCTATGTTACATCTTGCTGCTGAATAAAAGTGTACGGCATCCTTCACACCTGAAGTGGAAAAGCCACTCCAGGGGAGCCCCCATAGATGTACACCCAAGGCCTCTGCCTGTACATCAGACTTACTGGTTAAATGGATGCATAATCAGTATCCGTGGTTTGCTTACAGAACCTCTGTAAGAAGAGAGCCAAGTGAGAAATCTGGTGCTTTTTGGGATTGGGGAAAATGTTTTCATCATGCATACACACATTCTGAAAGCTTTAGTTTTGTACAGAAAGTTGCCGTTTTCCCCAGAATTACACTGACACCGTCTTTGTGGCTTGCCTGAAAGGGTTCACATTTGCTTTTTTTTTTTTTTCTGCCAACAGAAGACTAGCTCCCATAATGTATGGATGAAGTCTAGGGCAGTGCTAGGACTGCTGTAGGGCTGTTCAGCTGATTTTTGTTTATGCCAGAGAACAGCTGTGGAAGCTTAAAAGCAAAAGGCTGGCCAGTCTTGGAATTCTCAGAGCTTTCAGTGTGTAGAGGAGGAAGAAGAAAATTCAAACTGCCTAGATAAACTAACTCACAAGCAAAAGCAAGAGCAAAAAGCAAAAGCAGCACTATGTGTGCTGCTGTGTCCCACTGACTGTGGGGGAATGAGCAGGCTGATAACAAAACAAATATTTGATTTTTCAGAGCCAGTCTTGAAGGCACAGAATATAACATCCAGCATAAACAGAACAGACCACTGGGGATACAAGCATCATAATGTCACCCTAGGACATTTTTGTCCTGGTTTAACTCAAATTTGGGAGAAAACCTCCAAAGGGGGGCCCTCCAGAAAGCAAACCCACATGGCCTCTCCCCTAAAGATATAGCAAAAAATATTCCAGAAAGTGCCTACATGCTAGTGTCCTGACTAAGCATATGTTAGCACACATTTTTTTTGTGCCTATGTATACTTTTTCTTTCTTTTTGCTTCATCTAGTTTGACACTGTAATTGCAGAAGCGGCCAGCTTGATGTCCGGGAGCTGATCTCTCTGTACCCCTTCCTGTTGCCTACTTCCTCTTCATTTATCCGGTCTCATCCCCCTCTGCACGAGTACGCCGACCTGAACCAGCTGACCCAAGGGGACCAGGAGAAGATGACAAAATGCAAACGATTCCTCATGAGTTACTTGAATGAAGTCCGCAGCACTGAGGTTGCAAATGGCTACAAGGAGGATATTGACACTGCTTTGCTCAAACTGTATGCAGAGGCAAATCATGAGAGCCTGCTGGATCTCCTAGTTTCAGAGAACTTCTGTCTTTTAACAGATAGTGCTGCCTGGCTGGAAAAACACAAAAAGTAAGTGGATTTTTTTATTATTGCACCTTCTAGACCAGAGGGAAAATTGTCTTAGATGCTCTTGGCTTATCGAACAATATGTTTGAGCACTTGTAGTTCCTGTGCTTACACTTGTCCAAAAGACAACTCAGTCTGAATTAATTATTAATGCTAATTGTTAGCATTTTAAAATGTTGGTGAAAACCTATTACTTGACAGTCTAAGGTAAAGGAAATGCATTGTCTTATCCTGGTAAATGCAGAATTCTCTGTGAAAGTTTCCATATCCAACACAAAAATAAAGAACTGGTGCAAGTTTAGGAGAAAAAAGTTAAATGTTTGCCCTTGAGATAATGGAAGAGTGGAATGGCTGCAGTAGCTGTACACAGACAGAATGAAAAGACACCCTGAAGCATGCACTACCTTAGGTAAAAGCTTTTAACCAGTTAGTGGCTTTAAAATTGTAGTTGCTTGTTCAGGGAAAGAACTCTTTCTTCTGAATTGCAAACTTTCTATGTTCCACTGATTGACCAAAAAGAGGTTCCTTAAGATGACTGCAAATGACTTCAAAACAGAAATGCCAGCAGGCAGAGAATTAATCATTAAGCAGGAAACATTAGATAGTAAATGTGTAAAATACAAACTCCAGCCTTATGTAGTATGTCTATTTTGGTTTCCATTTCTTTAGCTTTAAACTGTCTGGTGCAGTAGTAGCAACTATATTGGTGAGGAAGAGTCTTTAATTATGGTTATATTTGGGGTGATTTCATTTATTTCAGGGGTTTTGTTAAAACCTTTTGGTAAGTGTTGTTTGCAAGGCATACCTTTACAAGTGTGAATTGAATGAATTCATGCATTCATTCATTCATTGAATGAATTTGCACTGTACAAAGCTCTTCTTTGCCTGACCTGACTCCATGACACAGTAAAGAAAAGCATTTCTTACAGTAAAACAGAGTTTTAAATAAACACATAATAAAATATGATTTAAATTTTAACTGATTAACTATTGGAGGAATAGTTCTTGGAGGTTTGTGTAATGTCCATATATTAAATTGACAGAATGGCATTGGGCACATACTTGGTGTAGTTTGGATCTAGTAACTACAAACTGTCTTGGGGACAGGAATGATGGAGACACACTTTTAGGGCAGAACTTCTCTCCTTTGATTCATAACAACAGCCTACAGAGTCTGTTGAAGTGTAGACATGGCCATGTACATGTCATTGTAAGCCATTATTTGTTGCAATCTGTGCTAATAAGTCATAATGAAATTAGTGGGAAAGTTCTAGCAGTTTCAATATTATCTTCTCTTTCTTTACAGATATTTTGCACTTGGTCTCCTGTATCACTACAATGGTCAGGATGCTGCAGCACTTCAGGTTAGACTAAAGCTTTTTGTGTCACCTGAAAACCATTCCAAAATACTGTTTTAGCTCTGAGATAAAAATCTGAGGTCTTAATTTATCTGTTTGAGAACTTGTGATGTGTGTTTATAAGAAACTTGAAACTTACACTAAGACTTCCTTGAATAAATTAATATGCTAGATATGAAAAGTCTGAAGAGCTTACTGAAGTTGACAGCCACTTAGATGCTTTTATGATGTTGTTAAAGCAAAACTGTACATACCAGAACATATGTTTATACTCCTAAAAGATGGACAAAAGTGCTAAAATAATCAAGCAATCACTTTAAAATATATTTATGGGACTCAAGCAGCATGCCCTGTGCTGATTGATCTGTATACACACAGCAAAACAGCATTGTATTCTCATGGCAGACATAGACAGCAACTGAGGGTTTATTTGCTTACCTGGTGAGGAAGAGTGAACACATTCTGCAAGATCTGTGGGTTTCAGATGGGTTAGTAATCCCTTTGGGGACCTTCCATCTGATGTCACTAATACTAGCAGTGGCCTGTACACTGCAGGTTAAATAATCCTGTTCTTTGTGTCTGCAAAACTCCACCTAGAGAAATTAGAATGTTCTTGATGTGTCTCAGACCATATCCAGTATATTAAGTTTGCCTTATTGTGCAGCTTTTTGAGCACATTAAACACAGTAACCCAATCAAATGCATTCAGGTCAGTTATATAAATAGTAAGAATAGCCTGAAAAGAAAACAGGTAAGGGCAACAAAAATATGTCTGTCATGTGCAAGAAATCTTGGAAGAATTTCGATGCTGCAAAAAACAAGGTTTATTGGCAAACTGGTGTAGCTAGGTGTAGCACATTTTAATTCCAATTATAATGTATGTAAAAATAATATCACCTGGTACTTGTAGTTCTTCAGTCAAAACGAGAGAAAAGCAGAACACCAGCTTTTCTTCTAAATTGCTTGTATAATTTGCTTTTCATCTTGCACACACAGAACACATGAAAAATATACCATGTGTTGGAGAAAAGGACTTTTGATAAAAAGCTTTCTTTGTGATTAGTGTACCTCCTTTAGTCACTCTCAGAATGAGCCCACATGATATGGGGTCTGAGTTGGGTGAATGTGCCAGATGCAAGAGAAGGGTGTGGTGGCAAAAGTGGGTGACCAGCAATGTTGCTTGCAATTGGTGTTCTTGTCAACTCTTTCTAATTCCACAAGTCTTGGACTAAGTCTTTTAATAGCTGACATGAATTTTGAGCTGGAAGAGCTAATACATGTTTTAAGCACTTTAATATGTGTTTTTGTTGCAGTTATGGGTGAAAATAGTTGATGGAGACATTCAAGATTCTACACGGTCAGATCTCTATGACTACATTGTAGACTTCCTTACATTCTGCTCAGACCAAGAGCTAGTGTGGAAGTACTCTGAATGGATTTTACAAAAAAATGAAGAGGTTTGTGATTGATACACTTTTAACAGAATATCAGTATTTCCCTGCAGTGGTGTTTGGGTTTTCCTTAATGTTGGTTTTTCTTGATAACCAATTGGACCTTGTGCAGAATATTTAATGCCAGTTAAATAGTGATCATCAGGAGAAAACTTGCAGGTTTCTCAATTCATCCAAGTCCCTCTATTAGCAAGTGCTAGTGATAATTGCCTATTTTTATTCTGAAAACAAAGTTTAGAGCATTAAAAATACAGCATGTCTTCTGTTTTCTTCATTTAAGTAAGATAATTTTTGAATTTTATAATAAATAAATCACCTGGCAGGTCAACTGTTGCTGCTGCCTCTTATTTTAAAGATGATGGGTGGTATCTGTGTACACCAAGACATGGAATAAATAGCCTCCATTCAAGACAAGATTTCATTGCTAGAAGAATTAACTTAATCTTCCAAAATAAGAAAAAAAAAGTGTGATGTTTGGTGCTGTATCAGACAGTCTGTGCTGTTGGAACTTGTCACTCCCTGATTTATATTAATTTAAGCATAGCTATTTGTGCAGTGGCAGATTTCTAAGCTTTTGGTTTGGTAATTACAGAAGTCTCTTCCTCTGTCTATATCATCACATGTGAAAAGGCTTAGAGCATTCTGGTCTCTAATTTGAGCTATCCTGCTACAAAGGCTGAAGTCTCTTATTCTATTGTGCAAATCCATTCAATATTTCTTGTGGAAGTTGTGCCCAGGCCAAGGCTTATAGACTGGACAGTACACACTACAAATTGAGGTATGCAGATAGGAGTGAGTGAGATCAAGATAAGCATAGGGTAGTGAATCCTGTGGTGCTGAGCAAGGTTTTGTGTTTATCTTCCTGAACAATGTATTAACAATAGTGCTATTCCTTTTTCATTTTAAATATTCATTTAATAATATAATTGCCATTGAGTTCCTAAATGCAATAAACTCTTTCTAGGTTGGTGTACAGATTTTCACTAAAAGGCCTTTGGAAGAACAGGAGAAAAACAACATTAATCCAGATGATATCATCAGTTGCCTTAACAAATATCCTAAAGCACGTGTCAAATATCTAGAACATCTAGTACTGGAAAGAAAAATACAGGTGAGTTATGTGAGAATGCTAAAAGTAGGCATAGGATTCAGAATGCAGGTTATGATCAACAAGGCTGAAAATAAGCAATGTTTGGAAGAAATAGGCTTAATATAAAGTCTTTCAAGTGTACTCAGAGCAGGGTAGGAGTGTTTTTAAGATTAAAGTAAAAGATGAGGTATGGATACCTTCATTATTTTGAATTTTTCAGTGCTTGTGATAGCAAAACAATTGCTTATGTCCCCTCAGACTTAAGGGGTTACATCTGGTTATTGCATACTTTATTTCACTCACTTGATGAGGCTCAAATCTTCTTCTGGTAAGATCATAGAAAATGATCAGCAACAGGTTGATCCTATTACATTGTGACAGCAATATATTAAAATTTCTGATTCAGTGTTTTACAAATGAAAATGTTTTATTCTGTCTTTTTAGAGTGATTTGAACAATTAATCAAATTAAACCATGCACCCCTCACTAGAATTCCAAACCACTCTTGATGCTGAATGCCCAAAAGATGCATTCACAAGTCCTAAGTGACAGTGTATTACACTTTTGGGGGCTTTAGCTCAATAGAAAAGCAGCCAAATGTTGTATTTGGCTACGAAATGTTTTAAGTACAAGAGAAGTTCTTTAACCCAGAAATAAAGCAAGGAAATGAACACTGAAAGAACTCTGCAGAGCTGATGGTCAGTGCATTAATTCACATTCTTCAAATGCACATCAGATCAGTGGTTTTCCCTTATTGGTGTTGCAGGTGTGTTACACCATGGCTGATCAATGTACTTGTCTCTGATGTCATCGATATTTCCAAACAAACTTTTTGAGTTAAACACAGCGCCTTGTAAAATATTTGTGAAAATACTTTACAATTAAATCTACCTGCTAGTAAAAGCTAGGTTATAAATCAATTTGGTGTTTAAAAATTACTAGATTATTGTGAATGATTTAGTGAGAATGTTTTAAATAGTCAAATCATCAGCTTATTTTGATGAATATTGGATAGTGGATAACAAGAAAAGCACTGTGCCTTTAGAGTGCTTTTCTATCTCTGGTGGCTTTGTCAGATTTTATTGCAGAAATAAAAAAGGTCAAAGAACATATCTGAATATGAGGAATCCTGTATTTACAATGTAGTTTGTGAGGCTGCTCTGAATTAAGTTGTCTATCTGTATGGACAAAAGACTTGGTCATTAATTCAAATTAAATAAGTTAAAACACATTTCTATGTAATTAAGTAAATATTCATCACTGTTATTGCTGGGGCCAAGAGATTTGTAAACTGACCTAACATTGTTCTATTCATCTGTAGAAAGAGAAGTACCATACTCATCTAGCTGTCTTGTACTTGGAGGCAATACTTCAGCTAAAATCTGTGACCACAGATAATTGTACAGAAACAACCGAGCTGCTGTTGAAACTTCGCAGTCTGCTTCAGAAATCTGATCTTTATAGAATTCGCTTTATTTTAGGTACGTTGCATGTTGTCGGTTTTAAATGCTGTATGTGATTTCCAGCTGGACACAAAATAATAGTCCTTTCAAGGATAGAAAACCAAAAGATATAAAGTTTCTCTGTGTTTTTGTTTGATAGGCTGTATTTCTAACAAACACAGGTTAATTTAGAAAGCATGTGTGTTGGTGTTGTCCTAGGTCTCTATAGCACCAATGGGATGTTTGCCACTGCACCAGAGACAAAATACCAACTGGCCAGAACAAATATCTGCATACAATTTTCTTGATAGTCACCTTCTTTTTAATGATGAGTGTGGAACTTTTGCATGACATGAGATGACATATCAACCTTTTGCAAATGAGGGACCTGCAACTTTATTTTTTAAACAGCTTGCTTCTAGTGAATGGAAGTGAAACTTTAAGGAATCTAATTGCCAAGGACTTGTTACCCATAACCCTGAAACTCGCTCTGGGGTTCATGTTGAATAAAAATATGAGCATCTTTAAAGGTGAAAAGTACAACTTACATGTTACTGTTGGTATTAGGCAAGCAACAGTTGAGCTAAGTATTTTCCTGGATCAGTGCTTATAATGGTTAATTTATAATGTTTCATCCACTGGAATGCAAACATACAGTGCAATTAAGCAAGCCAAGTGTGTAAATCTTCTCTGGTATGGAGGATTATGGCTGAAGAATGATGGAATAGTGGATGAAAGGGAAGTGACTTGTTATTGAACTGAAAGATGTGAAACGATGTTTTGAACCTCAGTGGGAAAAAAATCCAGTGTAAGTGGAAATAAAAATTGCAACATTTATGGGAGTAGCAACTAAATAAATTTACCAAAGTATAATGTTTCCTTGCCTCTTCAGGCAGCAAAATGTTATGTGATGGATACTGTACAAATGGAGCACAGTCATTGAAAGTCTTGGTTTTTCTCATCTTTTAGTCAGTTTTTAAACAAATTTTTCCAGGCAAGAGTTACAAAATGGATTATTCTCTTGAAATCCATGTGCTTCAAAATAAAAGATTTCTTACATGACAATTCTTACATTACATGCAAGTGAGATCAATGCAAGCTAGTGTGTTCCTCCCTGATAACCAAAACATTTTGGTGAGAAAAACATTGTATTTCCATGCATTTTACACATTGTATTTTCCATGCATAGGCCTATGCCAAATCTTTATCACCTTTACAATAATTAGATTATTTTCTACTTTATTTTGAATGCCAGATGAACTTGCCATTCTATCTGCCTATTGCTGACACTTAAACTTTAAACTGGATTAAGGGTTTGTAGTGTCCTTTTCTTAATGGGAAGTACTATTGGATTTTTATTGTCTTTTATGGAGTTTATTCTATGACCTCCTATAATATTGGGAAAAGCAGAGGTTAAAAATATTGCAGCTTCATCTTACAGTTTATTGTACATGGTAGCAGTGTCTGCTAGAATTGAAAAGGTGTCAGTGACCATGATTGATCACCTGTTATTTAGTAATTTCTTTGTCCCATATTTTGTGGTGCTCTTTTGTCAGAGATGTTTCCATACATCTGAGCATTCCTGTGCTCACAAGCATCTGCCTTCTCTACAGTTTCACTGGCTGGGAGAGGGAGCAGTTGTCTCCTCCACTGAGCAAATATTGCCTTGTTTCTCATTTAACAGACAAAATCCAGGGCACAGACCTTCATATGGAGAGTGCAATTTTATATGGGAAACTAGAAGAACACGAGAAGGCTTTGCATATCCTTGTCCATGAGCTGAAGGACTTCCATGCTGCTGAGGAGTACTGTATGTGGAACTCTGAGAGCAGAGACTCGCAGTACAGGCGGAGGCTGTTCCACCTGCTGCTGTCAGTGTATTTAACCCCGGGCACCTCGGACTGCGCGCTCGTCATGGCCGCCGTGGATCTCCTCAATAACCACGCTGCGGAATTCGATGCGGGTCTGGTTTTGCAGGTGGTGCCTGACAGCTGGTCAGTGCAGCTCCTCTCCCCTTTCCTGGCTGGAGCAGTGAGACAAAGCATTCACACAAAAAGAATGACTCAGGTGGCACTTGGGTTAGCACAAGCTGAAAACTTAATCTACAAGCACGAGAAGGTAGGTTACTGGGGTGTTTTTTTAAATAAAAGCATTTTGAAGCTTTACAGTTGAGTCCTTTGATATACAGTTATCAAAAGCAGTTTGAAGAATTAGTACAAAAGCTGTCTTCATGTCTTTGGCATTTATTAGGGTTTTGGTTTTTTTTTGCCATGACTACTAGATTCAAAATTAATTGAATGTTTTCTCTGTAAAACAAAAGGGAAAATCAGGGCCTTGAAATAGGAGTAACCTTGGTGAGCTTCTGGGATGAATATGAAGTGAGTCTGGGATTTGCAGATTAACAAAGTTCTTGCAGAATCTTTAACAAGTGTCAGTTAGCATTTCTTTCACTAGGAGGGATTGTCAGAATTTCCAATTCAATTTTTTACAGTGTCATCTGTCAAAATTTGTTTAAAAAAATTATCCAGCACTTAGTATTAATTGAAGCTTATTAGTAGATTTTGTTAATGGTAAATTCAGTTGTAAAGCTTTCTTCTATTCCTAGTTAGGACAGTGTTGCTTAGAGTTCACAGCAGATTCTTAAAATTGTTTTTGTTTTATCTCTTTGGTATAGTTGCAATTATGCTCCATCATTTCCCTTCCTTTCTTGTTAGATTCACATTTGGAATTTTTCCCCCCTCTCTTTTAGGTTAAACAAAAAGGAGCCCCGATTCTTCTTTCAGACAAAAAGGTTTGTCAGGTGTGCCAAAATCCTTTCTGTGAGCCTGTGTTTGTCAGATATCCCAATGGGACTATGGCCCACACGCACTGTGCTGCAAACAGACATCTCAATTCCAATGTGACTCATCACTCTCCCAGCTCCAGCAATCAGACTTGAAATATTCCCACAGTTCCCATGACTTATACCCCATTGAAAGTGGGCTGGAAAGAAAAAAGTGCAGCTACTTTAAGTATAAATCAAGGTGGACAGCTAGTTTTTGGGTTAATGGGAAGACTTCCAGTAAATATAAAATCCTGCTACTTATCTTTTTGATTTCTAATGAATGTAGATAGAAAATTCACTACCATACATGAAGAGGTGCAAATATGGGCTCTTCTGTGAATAGGAGTAAACACTTAAGAGAAAAGGAGCCTTTTCTTCACAGGGAGGATGAATGTTACGGAGTGAAGGCAAACAGTCATTTTAAGAATTGTCACTTTGCACTGACTGTGGTGTTGATAAATTTGTGGAGGGGAAGATGGCATTTTTTGGAGTTGGAATTCCTGAAGAGTGATGGGGCAGGATTGGCATCGTGCAGCTTACAACGAAGACAGAGATGTGCATCGATTTTAATGCTGGCTGCAGCATGTCTTCTTTTGGGCTGGATTATCTTCCACAGGATCACATTCTCAACTTCAATTTTTTTGCTCTACAAAATGTTGGCTTTTGATGCACTTTTTAGTACCACCCTCCCATCCACCTTCTATATGGAATTTAAATGTAAGTGCTGTTCTGTTAGGTTTCTGCTCCTGCAGTTACTGTAATGTACTGAGTGGAAACCAATAACCTCAATCACACAGATGAGCTTGGAAGAAAAAAGAAAGAAAGTTTGTCTGGTCAGACTTGTAGTCACTTTTATATGGGGGAAGAGACCCTGACTTTAATACTGATTTATTTATTAATATGCAAATATGCTGTACATACAGTTGAATAAATTGATCTTATCATTCTAGCATTTCTTTGGAGGATTAAGATGTAACTGATACATAAATGTACAGATGATGTGCTAAGTGTTTGCTGTAACATAACTTAGGCAGGTTGGAACTCTACAAAAATAGGTTTTTAGTGCTTATGGATGACTTTGTGCAATCAAAACCACAGAGAGAAGTTATAAAATTGTAAGAAATCTACAGAAGTGCACTACAGGGGTACTGGGTTTTTTATATTCTACTAAATATTCTGTGAACTAAAATTTTTCAAATAACACAAACCCTTTACTTAACTGCCCTCATATGTATTCACATTGCTATTTAACAAATTTAAAGTTGATTTAAAAGATGTAGCTTCCCCCAAGAGAGGTTAAATAATGACAACTTTAAATAAACTTAAGTACTGCAAAGTGAAAGTATTTCTTTGAATTCTGTAAAGCTCTAATAAATACCAGGCTTACTGACTGCATGCAGTTGAGTTAGTATGGCTGCTCCCTGTTTCAGAATTCCAAATCAGTGGAGGCTTTCAGCAAAATGGACCATCTGCTTGGACCTTTCTAGAATCACAGAATAAGCTGAGTTGGAAGGGATGCATTGGGATCATGGAGTCCAGGTCCTGGCCCCACACAGGCCACCCAGAGTCACACCATGGGCCTCAGTAAAACAAATTTGCTGTTGTCCCGATGCAGCCTCCTTGTACAGAAAGGCTGGCTTAGGAAGCTGCCTTCTAGGTGCAGTGCTGCCTCCAAGAAGGGGCAGCCAGACCTCATCCAGGGGAAGAACATATCCATCTCTTCTCACAGAAACAGGCACTGGTTTGGGGTGAAAGGGATTTTAAAGATCATCTATTTCAACCCACCTGCCATAGGCAGGGGTACCTTCCACTAGACCAGATTGTTCAAGGCCTCATCCAGCCTGGCCTTGCACACTTCCAAGGATGGGTTCTCTACAGCTTCCCTGAGCAACCTGTGCCTGAGCCTCACCACACTCACAGTAAAGAATTTCTTCCTGATATCTGAGCTAAGTTTGCCCTCCTTCCACTTAAGGCCATTCCCCTTTGCCCTATTACTCCATGCATCTGTACAAAGTCCCTCTTCAGCTCCCTTGCTGTCTCCCTTCAGGTTCTGGAAGGTGCTGTAAGGTTGTCCAAGAGCTTCTGTCCAGGCTGAACAGCCCCAGCTCTCAGCCTGTGTGCACAGGAGAGCTGCTTCAGCCCTGTGATCATCACTGAGGCTTTACTCTCAACTTCTTCCAACAGTTCAACACCTTTCTTGCATTGTGGGTCCGAGAGCTGTACTCGAGGTGTGGAGTGCTTTGCTTTGAAGCAGAAGACCTTTGAATCTTTCTCCTAATTTTGAAATTAGGGAAGTATAACTTGTGCTGAATTTTATTTATTTTTCAAAGCCCGAGTAAGGAATTTTGTAGTGCTTTGTACTAAGACATGCAAGTCACATTTAGTGAGAGGCACTTCAAAAGAAGTCAGGTGTGGGCATTTCTGACTCAGTTCTGGCATGAGTGATTCTGCTGTGGCACTGGTACAAGCAGAGTTTGTATCTTGTAGCCATGGCTTTGAACATTGTGTATACAACTGACAGTAATGGTATACAAAAATTTGTAGTCCCCTGTCCTCAAAATACTTGCTGATAAGAGTGGAAGTGATTTTTACAAAGACCCTACAAACCTTTTGTGTACACTAGCATGCATTTCTTAAGAAATAGTTTCTTTTGCTGACAGCATCCTGAGTATGCTCTTTTTTCCTTTTTACTAAGGAGGTACTAAAACAGACTCCTCTCCATGATTTAGAGTAATTTTACCCACTTAGTAGTGATAAATTACTGCTGCAATGGAATAAAAATCATATCATTCCAGGCCTCAGGAAAGTTCTCAGTTCCTTTTGCAAGAAAAAGTATGTCTATAAAAGATTAAATAATTCTTTATTAATAGTCAATATCTTTTTGCAGATATGTACTTTGGCTAAAATGCAGAAAAACCAGTAATTGTACATACAGGACAAATACAGAAACCAGAGCAATGAAAGCCAGCATTTTTGCAATCAAAAGTGTGATTAATATTTAAGTTGGGGGCATCTAGTTCTTTGAAACCCAGTCCCCTGAAAATGTGGGCTGGAAGAATCGATACATTGTTACCTGTTGCTTTGTTAAATTTTATACAAGCACTCATATGAATGAATGAATTAATATGGAAATCCCATGGTAACTAAAGGGAAAAGCAAAGAAAGCCAGTGTGAGGCTGAGGCAGAGCAAGAGCTCAGCAGGGAGGTGGCAGGTGGGTGATGTTCTTCCTCTGTGTGTCCAGCATGTGAGCAACTGGGAATATTCCCAACCAGAGGAGATGTCAGCCCACATCAGAGTGCTGTGTGGCACTCTGGGCTTTGTCACCAGGAAATTTATGAAAGGTGACATTCAAATTTCCTTAGGTGGGACAACTGACCACCCCTTGGGTAAGAGAGCTTCATTCTGGGGAACCTGAGTTCAATCCTTTTGTTTTGGCACTGTCAGTTTGGTGGTTCGTGGTTTATGTACCTGAAATCCTGGGCCAGCATTGCCACTCTGGTAAGTTATGGCTGCAGCAGCACAGAGGGAGTGAACAGGGAAGGAACCAGATTTGGGTATTAATTACTGACTGCATTTGTGAAGGAGGAGAGGCAGGAAAGAGGAATATTTCTCTGACCATTTTTCTAGTTTGGAAGCAAATGCTTTTTGGGAGTTAAAGCTTGATGTGATCTTTTTATCTCCAGCTAAGGAATGTGGAGTCTAAGACCTGCCCTTGGAGAGTGGAGATTCTGCCAGAATATTTATCCTTAATTTAGCTGTTGGTAAATTATTTGAAATTCATCTCCCTCACTTTTTCCAACGAGTCTCCTCCAACTTTGTATGTGTCAAAACCAAAACAGTAGTGCAGATTTGTTTTTAATGTGACACTGTGTCTGTGATTCAGGACATAATAAATGAGATTAGTCTCTCACACTGATGCCTCTGCAGATATCAAGACGTGTTTGTCTAACATGGAACCTCCAGTTACTGAAATATTGCAGTTCTGACTTTTTTTTCAGCCATTCACTGCTACAGATGATGGTACATACAAAAAGCACTTGTCAAACTTTCTTCTACACTTTTATATCTCCACACTTCCTCATGTAAAAATTACCTATGATGTGTGTATGTCATCATATGCAGTTTTTCTCTCTCTCAGTCAATAAGAGGAAAAATCCTAACAAAAAAAAATTGCTCAGAATCTGGCACTCTGCTCAAAATAAGATTCATGGCTGTATATTCATGAGAAAGAATTCAGTTACATCTTCATTTCTTTTGTTTAAGTGGATAAGTTGTTCCATTGAGATCAGTATTCTTGTAATATTGTCAAAGGCAGGGGAAAAGGAGCCTTTGAGGGTTGCCACACAGAGCACACCAGAGATACCTATGAACTTGTTCAGGCAGCCCATCCCGAGGCAGCTCAGGTGTGTACAGGAGGTTATAGTGAGAACTTCTCTCTTTGCTCCCCTTGCTCCCAGTCTCCAAAAACTTTCCAGCCTTTGTTATCTGATTAATGTCACTCTTCTAGCACTTAACTGACATGGGTACAAATCTTGAGAGGTCTGGGGGACTCCTGAGCAGATGTGTCTTCAGTAAAATGTCACTTTATTATTCAGCCACATGAAGCCCTACTGATGTGAGCTGTGGAAAGGTGGTGGTAGGGATGGAGTGTATGTTTTCTTAGAACTTTATTACATGTTTAAACACACAAGCATTATCCTGACTGCTGAGTCTTTATAACAACGTCTGTTCTTCACAGGACTCCTGTCTCGAATGACATTAAAAGTATTTTGTTTTATACAGTTCTACCAATAAGTAATTTTTTATTTTATAACTCTTCCTGATTTGCTGCAGTCTCTATTCAGCATGGCTCTAAGTGTTTTATTAACATCCTGCTGTTCATAACAGGCAGCAACTAATACATTTTCATTGTGAGCTCTCTTCCTATTGCCTATATTAGCTAATTAATTTTTCTCTTGCTGTACAACACTTTGGGGCTTATGCCTTGTGAACACACTGGTAGTTAAATGTGCTGCTACTTTGTAAGGAAAAAGAAGAAAAGTTAATAACATTCTGTAATGTATGATTGATTTCTAAATTGAAGTTCCCCTGCAGTAAATTTGTTCAGATGGAAGTTTGTACCATTAAGGCTTTTGGACTTAGTGGTTATACTGGTGAACATACACAGCAGTATGTGGAATGTATAAATGTATAAATATGTCGATTTTTAATAAAATAAAATCTTTTAATTACATTTGTCATGGATTCATAGATACATGAACCCTGGAATGTGAGTGTCCAAGTGAAGGGAAAATATTATCTCTTGATGAATAGAGGATTCATCAGGATGACTGACAAAGGGGTCAGATCCCTGACATGTAGAAGTTAGGCTGGTGCTTACATACTCTGCATAAGGCAGAGGTGTTGGTGTTCCTCATCTTCCTCCTCACTGCTCAGGACTAATGGCCCTGGCTTCATGCCCAAAGGACCAGCTGCTGCCCAGAGCCACCACAGTGGCACTGTAGGACAAGGAAGCCCAGGAAAGGATGGATGGTGAGGGCTGGTAAAGAGTCTGTGGTAAGCCAGGGAAGCTGGTGTGATCTCTGAGGGGAGTGAGAGAGGAATGCAAAGGAGAAGTGCAGAAAAGGAGTGTTCAGGGCATGCAGGCGTGCCTAATTCAGCTGCTCTCCAGCCCCACTCTGCCAGGCAGTGCCGGCACTGGCAAGGCTGCAGGCATTCCCTGGATGCTGAGGGCAGGTTGTGTGCACAGCTTAACTGGGGATCCAGAGGGGCTAAAATCCAACACAGTTGGAACTTCAGGGAAGGGATCTTGTTTTGAAATTCAGATCTGTGATCCCTTGGCAAGGTTTCTACAGCCCCATCAGGTAAAGTTTGTTCCTTTGGCTGAAGTGAAGGCTGTGGGAACATTGGTGAGTGCTCAGGGTGCTCTTACCAGAGGGTGTTTGGGATGCACATATTGAGTGTAGAATGATGCTGGAAGGAATGAAAAACTAACACAACAAGCATGAGTTTATTAGCTCAGCCAGCAGGAAATACACTCTGGAGAGCCCTGGTTTGCATTGCCCCATCCATCCATCCATCAATCCATCCATCCATCCATCCATCCATGGAAAGGTAACACAGAAAGCATTAAGCCCCAAACCCAGTCGTGACTCCAGCCCTGTGGGGTTTCAGCTAGTTTTGCCTCTGGACATTGGTTAGAAAATGGTCCATGCTAATCATCCAGATGGCAACACCTTCCAAGACAAATAATCAATAGAGTTCAGCTGAGTTTAGGCAGAAATGAGTCCCAAGGGTCCAGTTCACCTCAACAACTGTAGCTGCAGGACAGCATAGGGTCAGAGAGGCCAGGGCTGCCAGAAGAAAGCTGATGGCTGAACACATGGCAGGTTTTCAGTAGATAACAAGGCTGATTACAGCGCCTCAAAATCCAATAACAGTCATGAACATAATTACCAATGCCTATAATTGCCAATAACCCCCTGAAGATATTGTCCCATGACCACCTTGTCAACATGGAATTTGCATTGACTGGGGCCTGACCATCCCAATGCAAGTGAAATCCTAGAAAAATCTAGGCTGGTTGGGTTCTTTGCAGATGGTGTTGTCCAAGCCCAACTTGATGCACGGTCATCCTGTGTAAGGTTGCTTGTCCTGTTTTAAACCAGTGCCCACAAGCTTGAAACCAGATTGGCAGGGGTCCAAGTGTCTTCTTGGCATGTCTTTGCCAGAGGCATGTGTGGTTTAAACATCCAAAATACTCTCTGTTAAAGAAAGGCTAAAAGGTACATTTGTCTTGAATAAATAGTTTAGTTTGTTTTGTGATTTGGTTTTTTGGGTTTTTTGGTTGGTTGGTTGGTTTTTTGGTTTTTTGTTTGTTGTTGTTTTTGTTGGTTTTGATCTTTGTTTTGGTTTTGCTTTTGTTTTTTTCAAATGTTACAGAAAAACTAAATAAGCAGGGGATTTCTAAAAATTAGCAAGTTACTGGTGACAGCTTCAAGATTATGTACTTTGTGCCTCTCTAACGTGGAAAAGTATATTCAAATAAAATGCAAGTTCTTTATATCTGTTTGAAAGTCACAGACAGCAGGCAAAGATGTTTCAATCCTTTTAGTCCCTCTAACATACAAGGTTACTCTGCAGTGTCATGCCAGAAAGCTCCCAGAGTGTGACAGAAGTAGGGGTTTTTCTACTTGAATCACAAGCAGTTGAAGATGGGGAGGGAGGAGTACAGGATGGATTTGTATCTGCTTTTTTAAAAGATGTCATTCACTGGGGATTTGTATTTGCAAAGCAAAAGAAGGTTTTCATTCCTGTCGTTTTTTGATCCATCTTTAGGTTTTAACTTGTCATATCTCATTTCAAAGCATCTCTGTGGCCTTTTGTGACATGCTGATTTGTCAAGCAGAAGTTTTAGTGTTCCTGCTTCAAAACCTTGCTGAAATCTCTTGTTCTGGGTAGCAGCCACTCAGCACATCCCCTCCAGATACTCCAGTCAGTGTGTCAGGAGTACTCCTCCTCACAGTGGCTGGCTCTGCACTGTGAATGGCCATACAGCTGTGCTGGTGCCATGGTTTAACCCCAAGCAGCAGCCCAGCCCCACATAGCCCTGTGTAAGCCCTGCTCACCAATAACAAAAACATCTCTATGTTACCAACCCTGTGTTCAACACAAACCCAAAACACAGACCCAAACCAGCCACTGTGAAAAATATCAACTCTGTCCCATCCAAAACCAGCACAGATGGTCAAAACTAAAAACTACAAACCAAAGAAATCTCAATCCCAGAGGAGGGAGGAGTCTCTTGTTAAGCTGCTGTTAATTATCAATGCCTCAATACCCTACACTTTTGCTTTTCCCATCTGCCTGATATCAAATCACAAGAGTGTGCAGTGTTTCATACAAATAATCACTTCTGCTGATAACTTTCCTCCCTGTGGACAGGAAATGGGGAAGATTTTCTTGATTGAAGCCATGCCATGACAAAATTTGAAGGCAGCCAAAGAGAAGATCTGACAGGGCCTTTCTTCAAAGCAAGTGCCCTTAAAAGCACCAAGTGGACTCTGACTGCAAAAGCCAGGCCTCATGAAATCATGAACCAGGACAATTTTACAATGGAAAAAGCTCAGGAGTTGAGCAGGAAGAAAGTTTTAGAGGTTTGCAAGCAAATTCCCCACCTCATGTCTTGCCAAGTCAGGTTTTGACTTCTGTCAAAGCAGAACAAACATCAAGGACTTCCTAAACTGCAGAGCTCCCTCCACCCAGCCCCTTCTCACTGCCTTGGAATGAGCCACACTCCTCCAGCTCTCAGGGGCTGCCAGGCTGCTCTGTCCCCAGGCTTCTGTGGGCTCTGGCCACCTTCCCTTGCATGGCCTTGTTGTTCCCTGTCCTCCCTGCTGCAGAGCTGTGTGGCTCCTGGGGCAGTGCAGGCTGGGCCCTGCCTGGGGTGCTCCCTCTGCCTGGCCTCAATGACTTTTCCCTCCTGTCTTGTATCAGCTTCACACACTTTGATATTAGGCTTTAGTAAAATGCTAGAAGATAAAAATGAGGGACAACTAAACAGAGATTCCTGATTTTATTAAACAATGTTGCATTAAATAAAAGCAAAGCTGTGCTCTAAGACAACAATTCATGGTCTCTTAACTTGGTACCAATATCTTTTTGTGTTGAAATGTTTTCATACACTTTCATACACCCACTACTTCAATGAAGTCTCTATGGTGAAATGTTGTCTTTAATGATTTTACTAAGGAAGCAATATCTAATACATTGACTTGCAGTTTTAATGCCAAAAAGAGTCCTGTCACATTCTGTCTAGCTCTGCAGAGGTCTGAGGAAGACAAGGGGACAGCCCTGCTGCCTGTGGACTTGCATCATACAATAAACAGCAAGTCTCTCTGGTGGGGGTAGGCTGGGGGACATGGAGCAAAAGATGAGCCCTGTCCATATTTATTCATCATGTCTTATCCAGGTACTCGAGTGCTGCACAACCCAGCACCTAAGTGGTGTGTGCTACCTGCAGCATCAGGTCAGATCCATCCCAGAAAACTCATAAAATGCCTTTTTCAGGTAGTGCCAGCAATGAAAATCATGAAAAACCTAGCAGCTTTGACATGCTTATTTTATGCATCACTGCCTGCCATAGTTTTACACAACTGTTCTCCTACTGTCAGAGCACTGGGAATGCTCTGATATACAAAGTTTCTTCCTGTTCTTTGTGACATTTAAGGGAGAGAAAACTGTACCCAAGGTAGAAAATGGCCTCATTTCCCCTTGAATACTGCCATGCCTTACCTGTGAAGTGATGGTGGTGGTTCTAAAACTGTGCTCTCACGATTGTACTTTCCAGTAGGTGATATAACCACAATGTAAAGAGAGCAGGCAGCACCAGCACAAGTGGGAGTTCTCACCAGTATAACCAGTCCTGACCAGTATAACCAGTCCTGGCCAGTATAACCAGTCCTCTCCAGCATAACTTTGCTCCCAGCAGATGCTGGGTGTTGTGGAGGGAGAGAAGCAGCTCCAGCACAGTGGTGGGCACAAAAGTCAGAGGCAAACAGGCCAAGCTGTGCAGCAAAACCAGCTGGTTCCAAGGCTGCCCTTTACTCATCCTTTTCCAATGGAGGCTTTTTTTGAGCCAGGCCCAGCAGCAGGTGGGAGGCTGGGCACCCAAAAGGAGACATCTACAGTACCCACATTGCTCTTCCTGAAGTGCAGGGGCAAAGAGCTGCATCAAAGATGGGTACCAACTTTATTGCCACACACCCTAGAGCAGAAAAATAACAGTATTATAACAAAAAGAAAGATTGACTCACAGCATTCAGCTGACTTGGTGATGCCCCAGACAATGACTCGTGCACTTGGGCTGTTTCCTCCATCAAATGACCCAACCTGGCCTTAGGAGCAACATGTGCTGATGGCACCAGTGAAGATCACCAAACAAATCCACACAATAAAAAAGACTGGCAGCTTTATATTTCACAGCATAAGGAGCCAAGTACCATGCAGAGGCAATGTTTATTCAGGTCATGCTTGTCACTCTCTGTGGATTCATACCAGAAAATTTTAAAACCTGAATACATGCCCCAAAAGATGAGTATATTTTTCCTCTCATATAATCATGGAAAATAAATTTCCAGCCTTAGCTGGAAAAGAGCTCTAACACTGTGGAGTTATGCTGGCAAGAAACCCTTCTTCTTTCTCCCTGCTCCTTGCCCTAGTCACCTTTTGGGC